CAGATGAGATTTGCGAATTTTCATTGCACTAATAATATTAGTGGAAATATGTTCAACTCTGTTCTTTATCCCTCTTAACTTTAGTGTTCTTCATACTGATTTACATACATATCATATTTGTTTGTAAAACAATTTGAAGTTTTAGCATATACATAAGAACATAAAACTGAAGGAAACTTTTTACTTTTACTTTTATCCTCTTCACCACTGATCGGCTCGTTCGCCGCTTGGGCGATAGGTCACGTCTCTGTCACGCTCTGTTGGCAAGTACTGTATTAGGCTTGTAATGGCTCTCTGTTACGCACTGTCGGCAAGTACTGGGCATGCACCAGCTCCTGAGTGTACCTGAACCTGCTCAAGGCAAGGGGAGACCTAATTGAGGTGTATAAGCATCTCAAGGGGCACTACTCAGTCGAGTGTCTTTACTTGGAGCTGGCGGACGCTCGCTCCACAAGGGGTCACAGCTCAAGATTGAAGAAGCCGCAAGTCCAGAAAACTGTGAGGGCAAACTTTTTCGGAGTGACAGTTGTGAACTCTTGGAACACTCTACCAGAAAGTGTTGTGATGGCACCGAGTGTGACCTCTTTCAAGACCAGACTTGACCAACACTGGAGCAGGTTCAGGTTCATTCAGGAGTCGGTGCATGCCCAGTACTTGCCAACAGTGCGTAACAGAGACGTGACCGATCGCCCAAGCGGTTAACGAGTCGATCATTTGGTTAAGAGGATAAAAGAAAAGGAAAAGTAACAGAGACGTGACCGATCGCCCAAGCGGCTAACGAGCCGATCAGTGGTGAAGAGGATAAAATTAAAAGTAATTTCTTTCGCTCAGTCGCAAGCGCAAGTGTCGCCATGATTTGTTCACTTATGGCAGAGGTGGTCTGACCCCTGCTCACACATCGCTCCACACGAGCCGGAGTGGAAACACCAATGCCACGGACCCTATCACCCTGCCCTCTGCCAACCAGCCAAGTAAGCTGAATCTGCACTTCCCCAAGGACTCTCTGAAAACTGAAGAGAAACGCTTTAATTGGATGATGAAGTACTGCAGACAGCACGGTCTCAACATTCAATTCCGACAAGGTAAGAACCGGAACTTTATCAAGTGTCAGACTCCTGAGGTCTATGAAACACTTAGTACTGTTGGCTTTGATGGGTTTGCCCTGATGCCTCCCCCCCAGTAGACGCTGATGAATGTTGCCACATCCTAGTGAAACGTTTCCCACTATACGCTGACATCGAAGTTGCGCATGACTTCAATACTCGGTATACGTCGACATTATCGGCGGAAAACTCCACAAGCTGCGGTCATTGTCAAGTGGAAGGGAAGGGAGTGCCCAACCACGGTGGATGCCCACCCACTCCTCCCCACACTGAATGCAGAAGCCTATCATCCTGGGCCTGCATTTGTGTTTTCTGTTCTCATTGGGGTCACACCTTCACTGCCTGCTGCCGACGTGATCGTCCCAGATGTCGCTTTTGTTCATGTAACCATAACTCCGCCGCCTGTGCCCAGAAAATCAAAGACCACCTTAATAGGGTGGTGTGGGCTATGTAGTTGATCCCAGATGTTGTAACTGTGGCGGCCGGCACAATGCTGACTCATGGCAATGCCCCAATCGCCCGTCTGTCCCAGGGGAAAAGCCTCCCCGAAGGCCGCGTCTACCACAATGCCCACCCCCCAGTCTTCTGGGCCACACCCCTCTGTGTCCCCTCTGTCTCCAGCAAAGCCTTCTTCAACAACACCTGCCCCTGCCTGGCCTCACCTGGCTGCAACACTGCCAGGGCCTCCAACCTGTCTGTAATCTGACGCTGTCAGGCCTTGTGCTCCCACCGGTGCCCCCCACAACCCCCCTCCAGTGACATGACACAGATCATATCCCTCTTCCAAGAATTTACCAACCGTATTGAAAAACTCTTCGCTACACTCTGTACCACCATCTCCGACCTACTCTTGCCCTCTGTTGCCACCCAGTCACTCCTCTCTTCTGGTTTGACACAAGCTGGTAGTCCCCCTGTGAGCCCCCCCTGCTCACGGCCTACTCCACCGCCGGCGGCCTTCACTACTGGTGTAGTGCCTACCGGGCCTGCCCTGGTGCTCTGCTACCCCCAAGCAAAGTCCTGCCTCATCATCATGACACGTGGTGCTTCAACCTGTCCTCCACCCACCACAAGCCGTGCCCGCTCCTGTGTCTGAGCTGTCTCCACCAGGGCTATCTATTGGACCTGAGGACACCACCCCCGGCTACCTGTACCCCACCGGCATGTCGACGCACACACCATCACAATTACACTAAAAGGTGTGTCCTTCAATAATGTCAATGTCTATGTGCCTCCCTCCACCCCTACTGTACCTGTCCCACCACACCATATTACCTCCACCCCCACTGTACTTCGCCACGCCTAGTACATTGGCAACCCTGGGCCTGGCCGCACTGTTTGTAAACTTTGTGGTCAACCGACTCTCACACCCTCTCTCACCAAATCCTCACTTGTCCTATGACCTCCTACAGGTCCCCAGCCGTTACCAACACCTCTTCCCTCCCTGACCAGATATCCCTTCTCCTAGTGACAGGCCTGGCACTTGACATTATTAGGGACCTGCCACGCTTTGCCATAAACAGATAAATTGTACAGGGAATTTTCCCCCCACACACTCATCATTCTGTCACTTTATGTAACTTGCTGACAAAACCCATGACCCTTCAGGCTTTTACGCCCTTAATGCAGGAGTCATAAAGGCAAGCATGAACTCCGCATGCTTCCCCGATGGGCACTGTAAACGCTTCTTCGCTTCACCTTGCAAAGGATGTAAGGGGGTGCCCAGTAAACTAGCCTCCTCGTGGGCAATCTAAAAAAAATCTTAAAGTCTCCGTCTTCGCTTTCTAAGCGTCTGGGGCATGAGCAACGGGTTAGGTTAGGTTGGGTTTTCTTGGTTGGTTGGTAATATAATTTATGATATTGTGGGGTACGAGATATTTGGTTCACACTCAGGATGGGATGGAGAAAGGAAACTCATAATGTGTTCTCTGTATACATGTTGTATTGGATGTACAGTGCAGCTTGGTGCTGGGAAGTGGCAGCGTGGTTACCAGCGTAGTCTTAGACAGGGCCAGACTTTCGTAGGCCTTAGGCACCTCCAAGATATGGGGCCCCATTTGACAGCATATTCACTAATAACACAAGCTAGTACCTAATTATAAAATGTGATGACTGCAAGTGACAGATTTCGAACACAGACATTTTATCCAATTGTAGACAAGCTCATTGTTCAGTTGGTTAGACGCCAAGAAGCATATTCAGTGTTGTGTGACAGATTTGGTTTCCTGGTTGACAAATCACTGTCCCAGGATAAAGTGATCCTGAAAGCCAGAAATCTAGTGAAGACATATTCCAGTGATTTGGAAAAATGTTTTGCTGATGAGTTTTTGCTATTCTCAAATATGTACCCGGAGGAGAAAACCGTGAATGGAATGCTGAAACAACTAATCAACTGTGGATTAATAACCAGTTTTCCTAATGTCCACATTGCATTTCGAATTTATCTTTCACTGTTTGCAACCAGTTGTGAAAGCGAGCGGTCCTTTTCCAAACTAAAAAGAATTAAAATCTGTTCAAGATCCACTATGGGCCAAGAGCGGCTCTCTTCTCTTTCCCTACTTTTAATTGAAAATGAACTGCTTCGAAAGATAGACACTAATGACATAATAAAACAATTTGCACTGCAAAAAAGCCGTAAAGTTTTGATCTAATAAATATCTTAACTTAAAATCTGTGTCAATTTTCCGAAGCAGTTGCTTTGGCATATTGAGTATGTTCTAAACATTTCCTAATGATTACGTTGTAACTTGTATAGGATATTTCAGAAACAAAAGTATGTATTAGACAACTGAAAAAAAATAAAAATTTTGTGTACTCTTTGAAACAACTTTCTTCTACTATTTTGCTTTCACCTATGGCCAGAATATGCCTAAATAGAATAGTATAGAAAATAATCAAGTAACATAAATAGATACTAATAGGATTAAGTAATAAATAAATGGAAAAATAGTACCTCAGTATCAATTTAATAATAACCTGTAGAAAATATCTCGTAGGCCCTAGGCACTGTGCCTACTGTGCCTAATGGATAATCCGGGCCTGGATGTAGAGAGAGTTGGTTGGTGAGGGTGCTCAGAGGAGGACCAGCTTGTGGGTCGCCATGGTCGCCGGCGGGAGCGAGGACCGCCAGGCAGGAGGTGTTGCTTGCTGGTTGGTGTAGGTAGAAAAGAGACAGGTCACCACGAGGTCAGGTCTTATATGGCGGGGGGTAGGCGTGGCATAGTAGTTGACCCCTGCTCCGTGATGTATGGCGGCACTGGTTGACCAAGACCACGAGGCATACACTGGGGAATTCGCGGGGTCGGCTACTCAGCGACAAACAGTGTTTGTAGGGGAGGAATCCACTACAATATTTATTCTAAAACAGAAATCCAACTTTTTCTTTTATGAAGCTCGGTAGGGGGGGGAGGTCTAAAAAACACGTGGTTTCCGGTGGAAATGAATATAAAATTCGTTCGAAACTCATCAAAATACAAAGGAAAAATCTATTTTTAATATCTAAATAAAGACCGGTGTGATACTATAAATTAACCAAATCTAGTATACACAGTACTGTATTGTCGATATTTTCCCGTTTTAGAATTTGAGCCCAAACTGGACCTTGAGTAATTGTGTTAAGCAAGAGCGTTCCACATAAAACAATGTGGCAGTCCTTTACAAGGTTGTTTCGTAGTAGATGTTCCACCATGCTCTCTAATACTTTATACACTATGCTGGTCAGGTTCACTGGTTTATAATTATTCATGGAGTGACGGTCACCCTTCTTGAGTATAGGACTCCACTGCTTACTGACCGGTTGCATATTTTTGTAATGTCCTTACAATGAAAAAGTAAAACAATGATATGAAACTTTAAGAACCACACACAATTAGAAATTTACCGGTAAAACATGAAAATAAATATATTTTTTTTATCACCTGTTTGTTTTCGAGTTTCAGGAGGCTCCCAAGGTCGACCATGGCCCGTGGAATAATCGTGACCAGCTGATATAATACAACAATGAATAATCTACTGTGATGCTGTATCAGTAATGCTGCGTCAGCCTTTTACCTGATACTGCTCCTCCTACACTCACTCTGCGATGGCCACACTGTCCTCTTTATCCCTCAGTACCCTCACCTCAAGGAATATACAACCCCTTCTGCAGACTCGCCACTTGTTGAGAGCTTACACCAGACCTGAAGCTGTGGCGCCACGGAAAGTAAGCTGATAAACATTTTAATTACATGTGTGTTGTATAATGTACCAACAATGCATAAACAGAATACTGTAAAGTTGGTCAATGTCTTTACATAGTGGTGTCAATCAACTCTGGAAAATTAAGAAGGAATGTTGCGTTACAAGTTGTTCCATTTCGTTAATTTTTTCCAAAATTTTTTCGTCTATTGGCTGTCCTCAGGTTTTGGTACGAGAATAGGTTTATTTGGTGTGTTTTACTCAAATCTGACCTTCATTTTTTAGCGGAAATTGCTCGTCTTGGCCCCCACCCTGCCTTCGGGGGAGAAAACGAGTCATTTAACCGAACAAAATCTAACCTAACTTATTGTAACCCCTAGCTGGGGTCTCTGCCTCCAGACCCCCGGTAGGCCTAGCTTAAATTAACCTAAAATTTTTGGTAGTTAAAAACTTTGGGGGTGCCGTGTCTGAAAGTAGAATACTTTAGTTAGAAGTGGAAGTACCAGGGATACGTAAGAATTGGATAGAATGATCGTCTTTCTCGTAAACCTCGGCAATAAACTTAAAGTAATCGTAGGAGCATAAATGACAACCAACCTCCACCATGGCCATTGTGAGACTGGTCAATTAAATTAAATTCGTACCCAGGATGCTTCCTTTGAAAAAAATCAAATGTGATTGACCGAAAAAAATTTGCGTGATGATATCGATACTGGATGACATCAGTCAATATTGTGCATGTGGGATGCGCCGTTAACATCTCACGAAGACAAAAACTGAAAAATTCAAAAATCAATGAAATTCAATTGTCACTATTATCCATTTCCGCCATGTATATATGGGGTTCAAAATGCTCAGAATAGCGAGATCTAAATGTTTTGGTAGTTTATAACTTCCGGGCACACTATGTCCTTAAGTAAAATGATACCAGAATGGAGGTCAGATTTGAGTGAAACATCAAAAAACACTCCAAAATCTGTTCTCATACCAAAGTAACCGACCTACCTAACCTAAACTAACCTACAAGGAGGAGGAGGAAAGGAGAAGACAAGTGTCTCAAAGCGAGTATAGCCTCAAGTCAACATGGCAGGAACCTGCGGACAGCCAATGGATGAATATTAACCAAATGTTCTTTGAATGATAGTAAGTAATAAAAACGATACGACAACTTTTGGTATTTTTTTGTGTTAACACCCAAGTCACGCACAACAATACCTTATGCAGTTCTCAGCAACTTTTCTTCTATAAACATCTGTCGGAAATTACTTGTCGAAATATTCAATTTTTAGGTCAATATTGACAACTGGGTAACATTGCAGTAAACAGCAACCACAGAATTCGGGAAATTCACTTCATTCAATCGATAGAACTATTTTTTCTATGATAATTTTCTTATATTATAATAGGTTTGGTTTGGTTAGGTTAGGTAACATTTTTTTATCAGATTCTTTGGTTGCTGTAATCTTCAATTTTACCGACAATTGACCTGCAGACGAGTTATTTGTTTTGCTTTTTATTTTCCTAACTTTATTTTCATCAGTGAATTCTGATATTCATTTTTTTCATTTTATCCTCTTCGCCACTGATTGGCTTGTTAGCCGCTTGGGCAATCGGTCACGTCTCTTTTCATTTATATTCTTCACCAAAAGATCGGCTCGCTAGCCGCCTGGGCGATCGGTCACGTCTCTGTCATGCACTGTTGGCAAATACTGGGCATGCACCGGCTCCTGAATGTACCTGAACCCGCTCCAGTGTTGGTCAAGTCTTCTCTTGAAAGAGCTCACACTCGGTACCGTCACAACACTCTCTGGTAGATTGTTCCAAGAGTTTACAACCCTCACTCCGAAAAAGTTTGCCCTCACGGTTTTCTGGACTTGCGGCTTCTTCAATCTTGAGCTGTGACCCCTTGTGGGGCGAGCATTCGCCAGCTCCAAGGAAGGACACTCAACTAAGTAGTGCCCCCTGAGATGCTTATACACCTCAACTAGGTCGCCCCTTGCCCGTCTGTCATATAAGCTAGGCAAGTTCAAGCGCTCCAATCTCTCAAGGTAGTTGAGGTGCCGAAGTGCAGGCACCAGTCTGGTGGCCCTCCTTTGAACATTTTCAACCAACTGACAGTCCCTAGCATATCTCGGAGACCAGATGGGGTGACAGTACTCCAGATGGGGAAGCACATCACTCCTGAAGATCGTTACGAGGGACGGACCATCTACTGAACGACCTTCTTATAAGACCCAATAATTTATTTGCCTGATTTACCTTCTTCTCACAATGGCCCGAGAACTTCAGCTCATTGTCAACATACACACCTAGGTCCTTCTCACACAGTCTCAACTAGTGCAGTTTCTTCATCCCGTTATAATCATTTCTTGTGCCAATGCTTCATTTGATAGATAATGAGGCACCTAGATGCGCACTACTTTGTCTTCTCGGTGGTAATGCGGTGGTGACGTCTCATCCCAGGATGTTAACAGCCAATAATATTGACATAGTTCAAAACGCTCTGCCACCCTGGCTTAATCAACGCTGATCCTCAGTGTATGCTTAAGAACCGTTTGGTATGGACGGCTGCTCTCACGACTGCAAAAAATGTTAAATTACATCAGATCATAGTAAATTCTTCTCTTAATATTCCAGTGGGTCCGGCTAGAAAGTTAGGTAAGGTTAGGAAGGGTTGTTTGGTTAGGTTGGTGAGGTCTTCTAACAATGCTTCTGCTGCTTGTTTTTCATATCAACTAAGGTTAGGTTAGTTTTAATTTAGAAATAACCATTTTTTAACACATTTGCACAAACTATGACAGTGTCCACTATAAAGCACAGTGAAATTGTGACATTTTTATAAACGTTTTCTATGAAAAATTAGCTGTGGGTCAGTGGTCAATAATTACCATTATTTAAAGCCAGGCGAGGGTACAGGGAGAGGATGTTTTTGAAGTGTCCAAGTGGTGTAAAATTAAATTAAAGGGAGGGGACTTACTTATTGTCTGGTGTATCTACAGTTCCCCAAACTGTGGCCCACTAAATCAAAGGAACTTAAGAGCCTTAATAGACAATGCAGCGATGCTCAACCCTAGCCACCTCCTTATCATGGGGGACCTTATCTATGGCGACATCGACTGGAGAAACGAGATCATCCCAAATGACTTGAATAACCCTGCTACTCTTTTTTTAGAAACTCTGAAAATAAACTAGAAGGTTACAGAATTCGGGGAAATGTCCTAGCGTTGATAGAAGACTTTCTACATGACCGCAAGCAGTGTGTGGTGATTAATGGCATGAAATCATCATCTGTACCTGTCACAAGCGGGGTACCACAGAGCAGTGTATTTGCCCGCTGTTGTTTGTTTGTTTCATAAATGACATGCCTGACGTTGTACACTCTTCCATACAAATGTTTGCCAATGATACCAAGTTATTTCAGGAAATCAAGAACCAAGTGGACTGTGAAGAGCTGCAGAAGGACCTCTGTGGGCTCCAAGAATGGTCAAAGAAGTGACTGCTGAGATTCAATGTCACGAAGTGTATGAGGATGCACCTGGGGCGTACCAACGGTAAGGAGGCGTATCATATGTCCCAACGGGATGAATAAACTGCACTATTTAAGACTGAATGTGAGAAGGACATAGGTGTGTATGTTGACAATGAGCTGAAGTTCTCGGGCCATTGTGAGAAGAATGTAAATCAGGCAAATACATTATTGGGTCTTATAAGAAGGTCGTTCAGATATCTGGACGGTCCATCCTTCGTAGCGATCTTCAAGAGTGATGTGCTTCCCCATCTGGAGTACTGCCACCCCGTCTGGTCCCCGAGTTATACTTAGGACTGTCAGTTGGTTGAAAATGTTCAAAGGAGGGCACCAGACTGGTGCCTGCACTGCAGCACCTCAACTACCTGAGAGATTGGAGGTTGAACTGCCGAGCTTATACTACAGACGGGCAAGGGCCGATCTAATTGAGGTGTATAAGCATCTCAAGGGGCACTACTCAGTCGAGTGCCCTTACTTGGAGCTGGCGGACGCTCGCCCCACAAGGGTTCACAGCTCAAGATTGAAGAAGCCGCAAGTCCAGAAAACTGTAAGGGTAAACTTTTTTGGAGTGACAGTTGTGAACTCTCAAAACAATCTGCCAGAGAGTGTTGTGACGGCACCGAGTGTGAGTTCTTTCAAGACCAGACTTGACCAACACTGGAGCAAGTTCAGGTACATTCAGGAGCTGGTGCATACCCAGTACTTACCAACAGTGCGTGACAGCAACGTAACCGATCGCCCAAGCGGTTAACGAGCCTATCAGTGGTGAAGAGGATAAGATAAAAAAGTAAAGCAATTTTTTGGGAAGACGACTGAGTGCAACAGCAACTGGTATTTTTTCGTATTAACACCCAGGTCAAGCACAACAATACTAATGGTAATTCTAAGCAACTTTTCTTCTATAAACACCCGCTGGAAATCACTGGTTGTTGAAATATTGATTATCTGAGTACAGTACTGTATATGGGTTTTCAGAGAGTGATGTTGCCTATAAATACATGATTAAAATAACTAAGTGTATCAAGACTGTCATGACAGTCAATGTAAACTAAGATGATTGAAGACCAAAATTAGGTTTTGTAAGGCTGCCAAGGTTTTAACCACAGATAATCAGGAGTAGGAAACTTTACCTAACTTAATCTTGGTTCCTGTTCATCTGAGGCATTTCTGGTGTAATACAATAGGTTAGGTGACCAGGAGATTTTCTGAGAAATTTTGCTAACACAAACGACATTAGAAAATGCTAAGAAACAAGCACTTTTAACCGATTTAGAGGTGTAAAATGTACCATATCTGGTAGTATGATACAACATGAGAGATATTTGATGAATGTTTTAGCAGTGTACAGTACATGATAATGTTTTGTTACTTATAATTACCAACAATATTGGTTGCTCAAAGTGGGCAGGGCTTTGAAGAAGAGGAAAAATATGGGGTAAAATACTATAAAGAACATCAAAGAAACCTTTAAAAACCTTACCTAACTTATAAAAATCCTAAAACTATAAATGACTTACCTTATTCTTGTTTTCAGAGTTTACTGTGTTGGTGTAGTTTTCTGTGTTCAAATAAGGAGTGATGTCAGGATCACAGGTGCACCTTGCGAGGTCTAATTTTGCTATGACATGATTGGCTTACGTCTCCTACTCAGTTATGTATCAGTCGCAGTGATTGGCCAAGAGGAGACACACCACCGCCACCTATTGACATTTTAAGAACTAATGCCAGAGTTCGTACGACCGCCACAACTAAGTTATGAACTGTTAGTGAATCACTCTTACTGTAGTTCGTATGGACTTCAGATCTCCTGGCAGTTACGACCTTCCTATCACAGCAGTGTTAGTGAATCTGAGCCCTGACTTTCTGTCTCATTTACACACAATTGCATACATACACATATATTTTTGTTTCTCATCTTTGATCTTTTTAATTTTGTATTTATTATTATTATTATTATTATTATGATTATTATTTTGATTATTATTATTATTATTATTATTACTATTACAATATTATTATTATTATTACAGTGTTGTTGTTATTATTATTTTATTTTATTTTAATTTTGCATTTTTTTATTATAAATTTTATTTACTATGATTTATTATTATTATTATTTATTCACCACCAAGTTTGTCAACTCTTCCCCACCCACTGACTGGTTCATCAAATATATATCATTGCCAATGAAACAGAATTTGAGATCATAATGACGATGATCAATCTTGTTTCACTTCAAGCATTACAAAATATAGGACTGTATCATCATACCAGATACAGTAGTGCTGAAAGATCAGGGAGACCTTCAAATTATTCTATTTGGCTTGAGTAGCAGAATTTCCGTGGGTGAAAATGCTGAAGATTATTTATGACAAGGAAAATAATATTAGCAATGTTTTATCACAGTGATTTATAAATTAAAAGTACCAGGAATATTGAGCTGTCTTAGTAGAGAGGCTTCGGTTCTTAAGCCATACAAATCATTAAATTTATGCATATTTAGTACTGAAGCTTTAATAATGTTAGAACATCTGTGTTTCAGGTATCACGATTAGAGACTCTCAGGTCCCGTGAGCCTCTTCCATTTTCTGCATTCCTGACAGACTCCTTTGGTCGAGAACATTCATACCTTAGGATTTCTCTCACTGAAAAATGCAATCTCAGATGTAAGTACAGTATTATACTGTAAATATAATATTTTCCAGGTGAAAGAAGATGTATAAAATATCTCCCATCATGCACATAAAATATCAAGTTTTTTTTTATCATAACTTTTGTGGGTAACCCTAAGTTATACTTCCAGATCAAATCTTTATAACCTTTTGAAATAAGAGGCCAGTTGCAGCAGCATCTTCTCCTAGTCATAACCAAATCCCCAAAACAGTCATATGAGAAATAGATGTTTTCATTTAAGATAGGAGCGGTGCTGTATGTGAGCAGAATGAAGGAGAACTACTGTACCTAATATTTACCTGAAGAGTCATTCAGGGGAGTAAAGTTTGTCCAAGAGAACAATGTTAAGTGATGTTAAAAAAAACAACAATAAACATACAAATGACCTTACTGTGTACACTGTACAGTACTAGTGATGTCCGAGCTTTGCAACTGCATAGGATTATGATAACCTCCACTGCACAAACCCACGCGGTTGTCACGGTTGTGAAACAATCTCAAATGAGGGTTGAGAGCAAAGAAATTCATGGGCAGTGGGGCCCTCCAACCACTGTGCTGCTTTTATGAACAATGGGCTACAATGTTTTTAGATCTTTACGGTGATAAATCTTGAGTAACTTGCTTAATTACAGGTGACCATTTATGACCTTTTTCATACATGGTGTGTAAAAAAGTAGTAGTATTGGACAATCTGATGACCATAAACCTCTTGTTTTTTTTTCCCATTTGGGCTAAACCTGACTACTTTAATGTATGTCTAGTGCAAACTATGGGATGTTTATACTCAAATCAATCCACATCTTGCAAGAATTCCAGCAATGCAATACTGTATATATTCTGCCAATTCAAGTCAGTGACATTTTATAAGAGAAAAACTTAATTCCTGTCTTGTATAATCCGAAGTCCCTGACCTGCACCACTCCTCCCCTCCACCGACAACTAATCTCCTCTTGCTGGCTGTGAACACCCCATCCCCCATCCTCCCAGCCAGCAGGGGAGGCGAGATGGCGGTGATCAGGATTTTACAGGATGAATTTGGTTTTGGCTTAGTTTTTCTCATATAAATTGTCAGAGATTTTACTCAACAGAATGTAACTTGCATTGCAGGAATCCTTTTAAGATAACAATTAATTTGAGTATAAACATCTCATAGTTTGCACTAGAGAAAAAATGTTTAGTCCCTTAGCTTAGTACTGTACATTTGAGTACACTAAAGTACAGTAATATGTTGGTCAAAATTATGGCATTTTCACAGGGAAAATCATAGGAACATAAGTTGACAAGTTCACACAGGTTACAGCATTAATCCAAGTTTAAAGTTAAACCAAACAATCTCAACCTTGCCGTTGTGACTTCCTGACAACTGCAACCGCAACTCTGAAGCTTTGAGATCTGACAAGCGTGATATCACTACTGTGTACACTGTAATTATTTCTAAACTACTGTACATTTTTTTCAGTAAAACTAACTTAAGCATATCATGGCACATACAGTACCAGTATGTATTTATATGTTTGATGCTTTGCTCATAGTGTAATCTGAATTTCAGGCGAGCAAATAAATGCTTGGTCATCACTTGGTAAGTCAAACAGCATGTAACACATTAGTACATTTTTGCAATTTGTAATTGCTAGGTTTCATGGTCTAAGCTATTTTATAATGTACTGTATATCCTTAGGCCAGTACTGTATGCCAGAAGAAGGAGTGAGTCTGACACCAAGAGAACATCTTCTTACCTCAGAAGAAATTATACGAATAGCAAGTTTATTTATATCAGAAGGTGTGGACAAGGTCAGGTTGACTGGAGGTGAACCTATGGTCAGGAGGGACTTGGCATACATAATTGGTAAGCACTAGACTGTACAAAAAAATACTTCATAAAGGATGGGCCTGGATTCACCACTATGTTATCTGTCTATTTATATATACAAACTTGTCCAAACAATATTGTCAGTTAGTTCTTCTGTGGGCACTTCAGTAAAATGTCAAACTCAAAGTCAAGTCATAGAGGTTGGTCAAGGTCGCGCATTCATAAAAACAGTTTTGGGCATTATAACACAAATTTGGTAATGCTTTTTGCCTATGAGGTTCCTAAACTCACTATGACTTGTCCTGCTGTTCGGAGCAACAAAATTTCCCTCTGCCTTTAACAAACTCCCATGAATGATTCACTCATAGTGTTGACTCAAGTTGTGCCATGACTACTCATAGTAAACGATATACGTACTGTATCTTGTTGGCATTTACAGTGGTGATAGGTGTCTTGATTTGGTGTCATACAGTAATTGATTTTATACTTGCTTTTTGCCTTTTGTAGGCAGCTATCAAACAGGGAGGTACTACCGCCTGGGAAGATATTGGAAACATATTGTGTTGTCTAATGGTAGACCCTGCTGCCATATGGCATCCAAAATTGTGACCATGTCCCAAGTTGCTGATCTGACTTTCTGCCTCATTTAAACACAATTGCAGGGTCTCAATTGTTTCTCTTACCATTGACAACACAACATACATACTGTATATCAATTCTCACTCTTGATTTATTTTTTATTTTTTATGGTTATGCGTATTATTATTATTATTTAATTTTTATTTTTTATTATAATTTTTGTTTATTTTTATTAATTATTATTATTAATTATTATTACAGTGGTCCCTCGGTTAACGAACGGTTCGATTAACGAAATTTCGGTTAAGGAATTAGCTCTCATAAGGATTTTCAGTTCGATTAACGAAATCCTTACGACAAACACGTTTTGTTGTGCACATCAGCTGATCGGCCAGTCGTAATACAGTAATCAGTTCTATGTTTACATTCGTTTCCAGTGGAGTAAATATCAAGAAAGTTGTGCTCTTGAATATTTCTGCATTTATTATATTAAATTTATTGGTCATTCTGAAATTTAGTTAACATATTGATAATATAGACAGTACAGGGAACAGTTTTTGTGTGCCCATCAGCTGACTGAATCACCCAACAACACTTCTCAGTTTAACTTTGTTTACAGTGGAGTGAACATCCAGTTTGTTGGTCTCTTGAATATTTTTGCATTTTTACATTAAAATTATTGGTCATTCTGAAATTTAGTGTAGAAATTATTATGAAACATGAAGAAGGCATTAGAACCAATGCACTCTACAATCAGCTGATTGATATGTAAACAAAGCTGCCGGGAATACGACATACACACCTCAAAGTACAGTAAGTTAAAATACAGTACTGTACTGTATTCTGTTGTTTTTTATTTTTTATTATACAGTATACAGTACAGTACAGTACTGTATTTAGTTTATATTTAATGTTTTGTTAATTCTAGTACCGGTATACAGTACTTTGTATGTACAGTATACTTTTTCTGTGAGTTGGAACCAATTACCCAATATCCCATTGAAATAATAGATTCAGTTAACGAAATTTTCGGTTAACGAACTACTCTGGAACGATTTGTGTTCGTTAACCGAGGGACCACTGTATTATTATTATTATTATTATTATTATTATTATTATTATTATTATTATTATTATTATTATTATTACTACTATATTTTTATCCCCCAGGCCATAATATGGGTCAGTGACTTCTGCCCAGGTGGGCTAATCCCGTAAAACACCTGTATCAGTGTTGCATACAAGGATCCCAGATATCTTAAAAATCCTCTTTAATGGCACATGAGTGTCACAAGTGATTGTAAGGACACCAGGTACCAGTCAGATTGTATGGTAACACCCTGTTGCCAAGCAAATTCTCATGATGGTACCATATATCTTGTAGTTATTCAAGGTGACCCTAAGTACTGTATAGGTGCTTAGCCTAATATAACATAATTGTTCATTATGATGCCAGGTACAGTATAGTATTTCACACTTGCTGCAGTGATGCCGGTGACACAATTGTTTTTAATGATTTCAGGTGTTTCACAGGTACTCATACCAGATAAATCTTCCCATTTTGTACAAAGCATTGCGTATAATCAATCTATCCTTTCATTCTGCCTCCATCACTTCACATTTTCTCTGCACAATTATCTCTTGTTGGTAACTCATATATTGTATATGAATATTATTATATATTTTAAGTCTAGCCTATGAATATTAACAGTTCATGAATTTACAGAAACTTTTTTACCTTGTCTTGGTATTATTTTAGAGTCAATTTCTGATTTTGTAATATTGAATACAATCTCTGTCTGGCCATGATGCTGTTTTACAGAATAAATTTTTAGTCGATACTGTATTATTTTACAATGATTTTTTTTAGCCTTTATTATTTAAAAAAATTCTAGTCTTGGTATTGTTTTACAGAGTCATTGTCTAATCTTGGCATCAAGCAATTAGGCATAACAACAAATGGGCTGTTATTGAAAAGACGTTTGGCAGAACTTCAGAGTGCAGGACTTACACATCTGAATGTGTCTCTAGATACCCTCATACCTCAGAAGTTTGAACTTATAACACGACGTCGTGGATGGGAAAGGGTAATGGATGGGATCAATGTTGCCCTTGACTTAGGGTACTCCCCAGTAAAGGTATGACTGCAAATATGTTTATTTATTATTTCTGCAGACCTGAAAATTTTCTGTAAATTCATTGGTTTCTGAGTAGTTTATGCTCAGTTTGGTCATTTTTGTGAATTTTGTAAATCCAATGAGAAGAGAATGCGGATTTTGAATCTAGATAATAAGAATGCATTAAAAAAGTTACTATTATGGAGTCCTTATCAGCAGGGAGAGCCAACTGTTCAAAGCAACAGCCAGCATGTTACACTTACACAGATTGGCTTATTCAAGCTCATAATAAGTAAGCTGGAAGAGAAGTCACCCCATGCGCCATTTCACCCATAAAATTTTAGTTCACCTGGTGTAATTCAAGATTATTTTCTTTAAATCAACACTGCACTGCACTGTATATTATCAATATGTAAAATATATTTCAAAATGACCAATAATTTGACTGGAAACAGAAAAAAAGCATTTATGTTGAAGAGTCTCAAACAAGATATTCCTTCCTCTGAACTGGTAAACAAACTGACGCCAAGCTTGGTGTGTTGAGTGTCTGTTTGGTGTAAAAACTAGTTTCCTGTGCTTCAATTATGTTCAATAATTGTTAAAATGACTAAAAAAATTAATATAAAACTTTTAAAATTATTGAATAGTACAACCTTCTTGATATTTACTAAAATAGTACGAATTTAAGCCCTAGAACCGATTACTGTATTGGCGGACTAATACTTTGGCTGGTGAGCAGCCAAATGCAGCAACATGTTAGGGAAAAACTAAGTAAGAATTCGTTAATCAAAATTTTTTACGTTAACGAAGTTTTTACGTTAACGAAGTGAAGAATCTTATAGGTAATTACGTTAACTGGAAGATTCTAGTTAACCGAGGGATCACTGTATAACCTCTAATTTCATCACTTACCACACTTACAAATATAAGGAACAAAGGAACTGAGCATATGAATAATACTGTACAATTATTCTGCAGTCAATGCCAGTCACTGACAACATTCTTCTCTGACATCCAACGAAACATTGCAGTGGGACACTTCGACAACGTATCTGTTGCCTTATATGAAAAACATTCATTAATTTCAAAGCTCAGATCTGTAATGAAAATACCTGTAAATGATAAAGGAAAAAAATTTTGTTATTTAGTTTTGTAGAAGAAAAATTACAATACAGTAAACCTCGCTTAACGTCGCCTTGTAACGTTGTTTGATGACTACGTTGTTAAACTTTAGAGACCAAAAATCGTTTAACGTCGGTGACTCGGTACAAACGTCATTTGAATTAAATCACGGACTTCTTTTACCTTTTTTCACAATATGTATTTAGGATGGTGTGTGCATGTAAATAAGTAAAACTAAATGAAGAAAGTTACGGTACTATATCTACTGAAAAATAAGTTTAAAAAACATGTACTGTACAGTACTTAAGTGTATTTAAGGGACTAAAAATTTTATCTCTTGTGCAAAATATATGATGTCTATATTCATATTATTCGCTGTCTTGCAAGGAGTCTAGCAATGCAGTTTATATTCTACTAACTTTAGTCTGTACCATTTTATAAGATGAAAACTTTAAGCCTAAACCACCTTCAATCTTATCGGAAGTGCAGAGGGAGAGGTGATGTATTATGACAGCTGGCGCCAGCCTTAATAACCAAGGTTACCTAGTGGTATTTATTTATCTGTCAAGTAGAGGAATTTTGAGTTTATCTCTTATAAAATCTCAATGAATGTGACTATAATGCATACAAGCACCTCACCAGGCATCACACAAGGAGTTTTGAATTTATGTACTGTATATGAAATGTATTTCATGGGGCAAAAGGAGGCTCAGGAACGTAACTCCCATATTTTATCTATTTCTTATGGGAAAAATTGATCCGCTTAACTTTGTTTCATATAATGTCATGCTTTGGTAAATCCAACGTTAAGCGAGGACCTTAATAAAAAAATGAAGAAAGATTAACAAAAGACACATCTAGTAGCGGTATCCACAGTCATGAATAAGACCTGTGTAAGGTGTATTGATGGATCAAACAGGAATTATCTTTCAATGTGGTACATAATTCTAAGTCTAGGTGTAAACTTTGGAGTATTCATGAAAATTAACAGCCCCAAGCAGGATAAAAGCATTATTTTATGTTTGTTTAAAAATTATACAGAATTTTCATTATATCACATCAAAGGATGGATAATAACACTAATTGAATGGCCAAACATGGCTGTGTTGTTCAACAAAATATTGTGAAGAATAACAGAGGTGGGTGAAATAATTAAATCGGTTCCAACCGATGATTCTAGCTGGAACTTTATTTTTCAACTCCAGGCCAGTTCTAATTCTGGTCAGAAGTTTTTTCATTTCCAACCTGTTCTGGCTCTGGCCAGAACTTAAAAGTTGGTTTTCAATGCATCCTCAGTCATTGGGCCCCAAGGTGGGCCTCAAGATTCCCAGCCTATAGGATGTACACCAGTGCTTCAAAGTTTTTCCAAAAACTTGTTTTCAAGTCTGGATTTGTGCTGGAGCAGTGTAATGTGTACAAGCTCTCATTTACTGTGAGAAATTGTTTATCAGTGTGTGACAGACCTTATTATCTCACATAATTTTATGGGTTTGCATACCGGTATATGTTTTACCATTATTGTTGATTAGTGAAAATCATATTTCAATTGCTCACAAGATATTTTTTTCCAGATTAATTGTTTATAAATATGAGGGAAAAATGAGGAAGAATTAACTGATTTTGTAGAACTTACCCGGCATAAAGACATTGATGTGCGCTACATAGAGTACATGCCATTTGATGGAAACAAGTGAGTAAATAATAAAATTATTTTAGGTATATTCTGACATTAGATCAAAAAGAATCTTTCATGGTCAGTAATTATGAATACAGTTAACCCTTTTGTATATGATGTTTAATTATTACCAACTTCTTTATATGTTTGAGTTTGATGATGTATAAAAGTTATGAAGTCATGTCCAGAAAACTGTTATCTACTGCTACAAACACAATCATAAATTACCTTAGTTTGCATTTTGAAATATGAATGCCTGGAAAACAGGTCACCTCAGAACATGCCGTATGTGGAACATAGTAAAATTAGATAGAAACAAAGATAAAATAATGGATAAAAAAAAAGAGAAAATATAAATCTATGATAAGGTAACACTGGCTAAGATTAGGATCACTATGTGCTACTTCCAAAGGTAGAGACAGAAGACACTAAACCTTTCTCAGAGCAAAGTACTGAATGGGACTTGGGTAAGATTGTATCCAAAGAGAGAACTCTTTAACACTCATGGGGTTTTCATATGCAAATTTGCATATGAAGTAAACAATTTAAATGAAATAATTTTATGTTTGTGTATGAATGCTAGATAGGCAAGACACACATTTGGCAATGTCAGCATGATCTGACAACTACGGTATGTAGACAGCTCTCCAAGGTCACCTTTGTATTTAAAAGGCCCTGGATATAATGTTGACTCACATTTCCCACGCATTTTGTGCAGCATGTGCCTATTTCTCGTGCATCACAGGGATTTCATTTATTCATAAATGTTTTGTGAGAGTTTTGAACCATGCCTCGTGTTGCTGGCGAGGGTGAAAGGATGGGAAAACATAAAAGTGCAAGGAGATTGCACCTCGTGGTGATAGTGTGGTGCCTCCTGATGCATCTTCAGCGAAATACAGTAATATCTCCGTTAGTCGGAATCCCTCAAACCGAACTCTCTGATAGCTGGAATTGAAATTTTCGCGGAAAATCTTTCCCAAAGCTGGAATTTCCCAGAAAAATTCTCAACTTGCAACGATTTTCCTGGGATCACATTTTCCGGAAAATTCTGAGAAAATTTTCCCGGAATCAGGAAAATTCCGGGGATGGGGAAATTTTTTCTGGGTTTGAAAGATGAAATTCTGGCACATTTTCTGGAAAATCCGAGAAAATTTTTCCGTAAAAATTCCGGGGATGAGGGATATTTTTCCGTGTTTGAGAGATGATGTAATGGGCAATTTATGGAACTTCCGAGAAAATTTTTCCTTTACCAAGAAAAATTCCAGGGATGAGGGATTTTTTTTCTGGTTTTGAGAGATTCGTCTGCTACCCGGAAATCTCTCATTCCCGGAAGTGCTCTGCACCAATTGTTCCACCTAATGGAGATATCACTATAGTAGAACGTCGATATAACACCTAAATACGCCCAAGAGAGGTCACTTTAAACCGAATTTGCACTAAATCGAAGTGTTGTTTCAATGGAATAATTTAGTTTGGTACTTGAGAGAAACACAAATTACTAAAAAGACAGAGTCTACCCAGATGCACCTCAGCCCATCTCCTAGAATAAACAAAACATTGTTTTTTTGTAGTACTGTATTATGTTAAAAAAAACACTCATAAATCAACACAGCTAAAATTATGGGACGTGAAATAGTGTGTTTACTAGCGATCAGCTGATTGGTAGATGGGGGGGGGGTGAGGTGAGGTGATATGTTTGACAGTTGATGCCAAGGTCTAGTGCTTACTTATATGTCTGTCCGTAGAGTGACTAAGTTTTTCTCTTATAAAATGTCACTGAACTGACATGTTCTAATTAATTTTATTAAGGAAGTGGCTTTTATCTTGTGCAAAATATATGACGTTCATATTCAAATTATTCGCCGTCTTGCAAGGATTCTAACAATGCAAATTATTTTCTCCTAACTTTAGACTGTGATATTATATAAGTTAAAAACTTAAACCCTAAGACCACCAAACCCTGGCTGGGAAGATGGGGGGGGGGTGATATGTTTGACAGAAGTGACCGGGGAGAATATAATTTACATTGGTGGAATTCTTGTAGGATAGTGATTAATTTGAATATAATCATGCTATAGTTTGCACTAGACAAAAATTTTAGTAATCATTTAGTACATTATTTTGAGTTCATGTACAGTACAGCTTTGCCCTTAGGACAGTGTAGAGCGCGGCCCAGAATAACATTAGGCGCGAATTTTAAAATATGATGTGCCAGATTGACTCGCGCAAAATAGGAAAGATTCACTTTAAATTAAAACATTGTCCCTAATTAGGGTGTCGCTTTAAAACAATAATCTTAAATTGAATTGCTTTAAATCGACGTTCTACTGTATTAGTTTTTCATAACTTTCCTCTATAAATATTTTTTCCTGAATATGTACGCTTTATAATGGAATAAGGATCATATTTCAATGACATGAAATAACGATGGTATAATGTGATGTATCAACATTTTCATTAAGCGTAAACAAAAATTTTGTGTTCTATTCACGCTTACATAAAGAAATAATTATTTTATCGATTACTTATATAAAAGTGTGTGTAGATAATTTTTTACAATGGTAATGCTACAAATCCCACCTTTTTATCTCAAATAGCAAGCTTGCTATTACTCATTACGTACAATTATCTCTCATTTGGTGCCGTCAAGATCGGTGAGGTAACAGGCTAGACCTTGAGCGTCTGCGGGAGAGCGCCTACTCAAACCCATGAGTGTTAATTAGATAAATAAGTTTTTGCCTACCGGTAATCTATCTGCACCTCAAGCTATCAGTTTATCTGTCTCCCTATTTGCATTTGATTGTTTTCCACTTTCTTAGTTACCACATTCCATGGAAAGGTTTAATGTGGCAATATATAGAATTTCAGTAAAACATGTAAGTACTGTATCTTGATTATCACATACAGTACTGTAGTTTCAAGTGCAAAATTGGTAATACCAACACTAGAATTTTTTTTTTTTAAACACTGCACTTGTTACTCTGGTTATCCTGATGAATACAGAAATGGAGAACTATGAAGGAGGAGAAAAGGGGAGGTTACCCTGTAAGCTAGATTAGATGTGATATGGGTTATTTGCCTTACAGCCTTCACATTAATGCTGGCACACTTGACCAACTCCTGCTGGCTTACCATTTTCATACGGTGATATCTCCGTTAGCTGGAACAATTGGTGCAGAGCACTTCCGGGAATGAGAGATTTCTGAGTAACGAGGTTACTCTCTCAAAGCCGGAAAAAATCCCTCATCCCAAAATTTTTCTTGGTAACAGAAAAATGTTCTCGGAAGTTCCAGAAATTGCGCATTACATCATCTCTCGAACCTGGAAAATATCGCCCATCCCTGGAATTTTCCTGGTACCGGAAAAATTTTCTTGGAATTTCCAGAAAATGCGCCTGATTTTCATCCCTTGACCCCGAAAAATATATCCTTTATCCTTGGAATTTTCCATGTACTGTACTGGGAAAATGTTCTCAGAATTTTCCAGAAAATGTGCCCTCGAAATTTCAGTTCCAGTTAAGAGGGATTCCGGTTAATGGAGATATTACTATTAAGTTCCTATATGACTTCCTTTTTTTTAAAGTTACAATATTTCAGGTGGATGGACAAGAAGATGGTGAGTTACTCGGAGATGTTGAAGAAGATTACCCAGGTTTACCCTGGTCTTATGAAGGTGTCTGACAAGTCAAATGATACATCCAAGGTACAAATATATCTTGAATAAATTGTTTTGTCTATATATCTGAGGGGATAGTATAGAATGAAAGTCAGTAGTACATTCAATTATTGGACACCTACACTTTCTGAATATCATAAGATTGGACTGGCCTAGTGTACAATACTGTACTAGGAAATAAGATATTAAGGGAAGTGACCTCAGAGAGATAAACTGTTAAGTTCTAAGGTGTACGGCTCAAGTCTATTATGTATAAGTATTCTACTACAGAGCATTTTTCTCTTATCAACAGGCATATAAAGTTCCTGGCTTTGTGGGACAAATTGGCTTCATTACTTCCATGTCAGAAAACTTTTGTGGTTCCTGTAACAGAGTGCGGTTGACAGCTGATGGTAATCTTAAAGTCTGCCTTTTTGGGTCATCTGAGGTATCACTAAGGTAAATATTTTTATTTCATTTAGAATAATGATGAAGTATTATTGTAGTTACTTGCTCTAGGATGTCATTATATGTGTAATATGAATTAATATTCAGTACAGTATTTCATAATGTTCTATTTTGATAGTGGATTATTTCTTTTCTTTATATTAGGGATGTTATGCGTGATGGATGTACTGATGAAGAACTGCTGGATGTTATTGGAGTTGCTGTTGGTAGAAAAAAGAGGCAACATGCAGGTATATATTCAGTGATATATGTCTTAGAGTAAATCAGAATATATAATTTATTATTAGCTCAGTAAAGCTGGTGGTCATCAATAACCTAACAGAAGTTTTTCCTAGAATTTGGAATCAGTATGCTAAGGAAAGGAAAATTTTGTGATAGCATATGGCACATTTAGTCATCTCATAGGAAATAGGTCCTTTCTATGTACTGTACAGGCAATGACCATTATAATCGAGGTTACGGATCTCAAAAACCCACCGATAAGTGATCGGTCGTATATTAATATTAATAACTTATAGGGAAAAACATGTTGTCCCTGAGCCCCTGAAGAGCCTCAACAAGTTTTATATCCTGCTGCTCTAATAATTAAATATTGTCTAAATAACTCAAATCATTTATAAATAGACATAAAATCAATAAATTTATACAAAATACAGCAAGACCTCGCTAAGTCAGACTATATGGGGCTTGAGGCTGTCTGACTTATCTAGAATTCTGAATTATTCGTTACCTTATAATAAGTTTCTTATTTAGAATTTTTTAACATTCTGTATGTAGGATTGTGTGTGCATGTAACTGAATGAAAAAAAAAGTATATTTATACAGTAAGTCCTTGATATATAGGATGCGCCTTGAAAACCCTCGCATAAATCAAAATCGCATTTATAGCGAATACCGAGTAAAATGGAAAAAGATAAGATGCATTCCATAACCCAAAAAAAAAATGTTCCAGACCCATTTTCAAGACAAATAAACCAAAAACAAATCAATACAATGTTATTTTTATAATATTAGATGAAGCAAGTGTACAGTACAGTGTACTTAACAATAAAAGCAGATACATCAGCTTGGGTAGATGAGATGATGGAGGTGGTGATAGAGGTTTTATATAGTGGGTGATGGTGTTTGAGTGGCTACTGTAGTCATCAGTGTTGGAACTGTATCAGGGAGTGGGACATCTCGCATAAGGCTGAATTTTGCTCGCATTAATTGAATTCCTGGTAGGAATAGGGTCTCTTATATGAGTGAATTCGCATATGCTGAACTTGCCTATATCGAGGACTTACTGTATCCCCAAAGTTATGAGTTGAAAAATAATCATAAAATAACTCCTACCTCAGCCTGGTAAGGAGAGCGCTTAGGGATGTGGCTGCCTTAGCTGACTCCTGGGGGCACGTGATTTTAATTTTTGCCGGGACCCAAACTTATATATGCAGGGGAAGCTTTCATAACACGAAAAAGGGGGTGGTAATTTAGGAAATTGAAAAATTTTTTTTTTATCTCGAACGGCTGTATCTTGAGGGATACCTGTACAGTACTACTTTTAATTTGTCTTATTTTATAGTTTGATATTATATTTTCATTCTTTCTAAGTCACATTGTTGCATTGAAGTGATATCCATATTATATTTTCTTTATTTTCAAGGCAAATTACAATGAAATGTCATTTCCACAGCTTTTATAGTTTCTTATTTAAACAAACACTGCGACAGTCGGCGTTTGGCCGTGAATTATGAATTTTTGACCATGAAATTTAAAAAAAAGAGGAAGTAATTGAGGTACCGGTACCCACGAATTCAAGAACACAAATTTATTTTGTGAATTATCAAGACTCTTGTGTGCTCTACCTCTTAACTGTATCGTCATGCATAGTCACTGACTAATGGTATTGGATTCTTATGCAAGGACTGTATATCTTTATAAAAGTACAGAAGTACTGTATTCCTACAATAGGTACATTTACCACTTTTTCTCTCTTGTCTGTGATGCCTTCAGGGAAATCCCCTGTTGGGAAGGAGGATGTGGCTTTGACAGAAGACCCTTCAGGTTGCCTCATCACTTTGTATCTCCTTTGCCTTTTCTCTCCTCTTATTCTCTCCTCTGTTCTCTTTATAGTGTATTGTTCTACATTTTCCTATTATGATATGGTCAGTAGCCCTGTACTCAATGCCCCTCCTCCTACATTCCTCCTACACAACCTTTTTACTATCTTCTTCTCTTGTAGCCTTCTCACATGTCCATGCCATCTCAGCAAATCTCTCTTGACCCATTCCGCCACTCCACATTTTATATCCTTTGCATTCTGTACCATTCTAAATTCCCCATGCATTTCACTGTTTCTTACCACTTCCTTTTTGGATACTCCAAATGAAGCTATCAGGTAACTCATCTCAGATTATTCTTATTCATTTCAAGTCCATGTGTCACTGCCTTAAGCTAAGGTAGGAGGTTCTATGCTATCTATTGAGTTCCATTTTGACTTCCAAGCATACTTTCCATCCCTTGATGATAGTTACCAACTCTGCAGTCACCTTTCTACCATATACCCTCTAAATCTCACTCCATGACATTCTTAAAATGCTCCGCTCTCAAACTCTTAAAGTTTTAACCTTCTCCAGGTGGCCATGCCAAGAGAAGAAGGCCAGTGGCTTGTGTAGCATCCCTCGATTGTTCTTGATAGTCTTGTCAAGGGCTGTTTTGAAGCCCAGTACTATTTTGGATTCCACAGCTTTAGCTGGTAGACTGTTCCACAGGTCTACCACCCTGTGTGAAGAAGTCAAGTATTTCCTTATATTCATCCAGCCTTACAGCTTGGTGAGCTTGAAGTTGTGTCCTCTAGTGTTGGTGACATGTGACATCAGAAAAATGGCCTGGGTTTACATTTTCCATCCCTTTCAAGATTTTGTATGTGTCTATGAGATTTGACTAGATACATAAAAAAAATATGACTGGGAACCTAAGAAAACTGGATAAAATGTGAAATTTTTGTGAGAATGAAATATCAGAAATGGCTGAAACAAAAGTGGATTGTTGGAGTTCAAAAGAAAATTGTGTACAGTGGAAAAATTATTGATATAGTATAGTTGCATGCAAAATAAATTTTATTAATAATTGTATGGCACTCATGTACAATAATGTTTACTTACAGGTATGCAAAATCTGGCTAAGCTGAAGAATCGACCTATGATTCTAATTGGTGGGTGACTGAGGGAGACATCACATAGTATGTACTTAGATTATCATTTCCTTGATGCATTTTGTTGTAATTTGTAATGACTATAATAGACTCTCGTTAATTTTTTGGCTCTGTGTTCTGAGAACATGCTCTAATAACCCATAAATCACCCACCAGTTCTGGTAAAAGTAGTCCTGTCATGTCCAGAAAAAAGACCATATACAGTAAAACCGGATAAATTGGACATCAATATATCGGAATTTGGTTTTTTTCAGAATCTGAGGTTGTACTCTGGTCACCAGAAATACTTAGAAAACAAGCAAATTACACGTACAGTACATGTTTTAAGAAATGAGGAAGGTTAATAAAAAAAAACTTGTGAAATGAACCACACTTACTGAATTCTGTACAGTTGTCTAATAAGATTTGCTATAGGCCTCCTGAGAACTATGACACTTGAGTATGTAAGCAGGTTGGGGCTGATTAGGTGTTGCCACATTCATCAGGTTTATTTATTTATTGATTTAGTATTATATTCTCATATGATTGGCCTCTTACAGTTTATGGTTCATCATGATTAATATAACATCTTTAGTAATAGAGAAAAAATACAATACTGTATGTAATTTGTAATATGACTTGAAAATAAAAGGATAAACTGTATGAGGAGGTTATTTACTCGATATGCGTTTGTGTGAGAGCTTTCAGCAAATAAGCTACAACAGGGGTCACTATAACACACTAGTATTTGATATAAAGATACCTTCCTAACAATGTTATTTACTATCTTTGAGTGATACAAGATGGCTCAATTTGGCTACTGGTACACTTAGACAACTGATTAATGAATAAACCAGGGTACAGTATACTCTTGATTTAACGAACTGATATAACGAATTCTCGATTTAGCGGAAGGCATATTTTTCGTTATTTTTCACTCGATTTAGGGAGCTAGTTTGCTAAATCAAGATTAATTCCATTAATCTTACACTTACATCTATGGAGACACCTCAGACACATGATACAGTAAAACCTACTTCAGCCTAGGGTGAATGTACTAAATGTATAAAGACTATAAATAATGATATAAAGCAATTACTGGAAAATCTGAGCTACTTTTTTACATTGACATTTTGATACCTTTACTTGTACTTGAGTAACATTTTGCCATACATTACTCTGTATGGGAGGCTAATGGATATTCATCTATTATATAATGTATATATTTTTTAATCCCAACCTTTTTCATTACTACAGTTCAGTATACTGTATTGTATTGTAATGTACAGTAATTAAAAATTTGAAGAATTCTCAGATATTTACCCAAACATTAACCATAGTCTTTCCAGTAAGGCTTTTCTGTATAACTATTTATTTCCTTGTTAGTACAATGAGCTTTGCCATCAGAGTGACAATTCTTAATAAATTTTGTGGGTATTGAGAAGTTCTTAAAGTTAATCTTCTTTTTATTCATATGATTACTTAACATTTGTTATGTAAGTTGGTTCTCCTAACATATAGCCATCTCTATCCTTTTTATAATCATGAAACAAAAAATTGATTGCTGAAAACTATTATCGTCAGTGAGAAGAATCAGATGAATTGAATCCATCTCTCTTCCCTGGATGAGTTTCCTTGTAGACAAGGAAATTGAGATGATCAAATTTCAGAGACCCAAGTTTATGATCAGGGTTTCAAAGTCATTTTAATCAACTTAAAGATTTGTCCCAGTAGCCTTTAGAACTCTTTTTGAAGCACTGTGATCAAGGTTATGGTTTTACTCTCACTAACTTTTGAGTCACAATGCAAATAGTTTTTTTATGAATTCTTACTACTGTTCCATTTAGGACAGTGTCTTTGTCTCAGAATGTATTCAGCCCCTGGTCATGGCAGGCTGTCAGAAAGTGTTCTGTTAGAGTGCATATCATAAGTCACTTGATTCTTCCCCTGCCTAGAATAGGATTTTCAAGTTTTCTTTTTCCAGTACAGTAGTATGCATAAATATGTATTTTGAACTTGCCATTTTCTCATAGAACTCTGTTACAGGTCTAGGATTGTACTCAAATGCAGTACAGTCTTCTTGGTACATCTCAAATCTTGCAGTACCAAGACCTCTTCAAGTTTTCTCCATTCACACCACTACAGCAACACTTAAAGAATCGGCCCCAAAACTTCCAACATATCACAAAAGCAAATTTTCCTGTAAGAGACATGGGAAATATTGTGAAAAAAATAATTCTATACATCAAGATGTATCCCAGGATTTCAACCAAAAGGATGAAAACACTTCATGCAAAAGTTCCTCTTTTGAGGACAGAGGTGTTGTGGATCACAATAATGTTTTTTGGGAAAACTTTGGAGAATATTCTCAGGAGAGAGAAATTAAAGATGTTAATATACAGTATAAAAATATTTCAATAGATAAAAAGTCTTGTAGTTCACATGCTCAAATAAACCCCAGTGAATTTCTAGGTGCAAGCCATTCAAGTAAGAATGAAAAAGATAATTCTGTTAATCTAAGTCATGTAAATGTAGCAGGTGAAGCTCAGATGGTAGATGTTAGTCAAAAGAATGCATTCGTCAGGCTGTGGCAAGAGCAGAGGTATCCCTTGGTAGTAAGGCCTTTGGTTTAGTTAAGGAAATAATGAAGAAGGGTGATGTCCTGGGGATGGCTCAAAAGCTGGTATCATGGCAGCTAAAAGAACCTGGGAATTAATTCCATTATGTCACCCACTTCCACTTGATCATGTTGAAATATCGCTAGAGTTGCTGGAAGAAATGGAAAGTGGACAGGAATGTCACCTCATTATAATTACAGCCAAAGTTGTTACTGCAGGACGGACAGGGTGAAGATGGAAGCTTTGACTGCAGCTTCTGTGGCAGCCCTTACAGTGTATGATATGTGTAAGGCTGTCACCCATAATATTACAATATCAGATATATGCCTTGTCTCCAAAACAGGTGGCAAGAGAAATTTCACTAGGATAGTATCCTCGTGAACAAGAGCTAGATATTATTTTGTATTATATTGTTGTTATTACTGATATTGTTTATAAGTCTTCTGGAGTATATTCTTATATTTTGTACAGGTACACCACCAATTATCCTGGAACTGATGGTCCGGCACCTCCTTTAGTCCGGACAAAATTATGAGGGGGCACTACTCCCTCCCTCCCTCCCAGCCTAGGCGAAGGTAGTTTTAGGCATAAAGTTTTTACCTTATAAAATGTAGCTGACTAGACGTATGAGAATATAACTTGCATTGCTGGAATCCTTGTAAGATAGTGAATAATTTGAGTATAAACATCACATAATTTGCACATGAGATAACAATTTTAGTTTAGTGTAGTACATTTGATGCGTACAAGTTTTTTAACTCATATTTTCGGGAAGGTATATTTAACTTTCTTCATTTATTTTTACTCATTTACATGCACACACCATCCTAAATATATATTGTGAAAAAAGTAAAAGAAATAATTGTCCTAAGGGTAAACCTGTAATAAGTTAATTTAATTTTTTTTTATGTCTAGTGAAACTATGGGATGCTTATATACTCAAATTAATCACTATCTTACAAGAATTACAGTAATGTGAGTTATATACAGCGGTCCCTCGATTAACGAACGGTCCAATACTTGAAATTTCAGTTAACGAATTAGCTCCCATAAGGATTTTTAGTTTGATTAACGGACAAAACTTTGATTAACGAAAGCCTTACGAGAAACACGTTTTGTTGTGCGCATCAGCTGATCAGCCAGTCTGCCAATACAGTAATCAGTTCTATGTTTTCATTCATTTCCGTGGGTAAATGTCAAGAAAGTTGGTCTCTTGAATATTTCTGCATTTTTTATATTCAAGTTATTGGTCATTCTGAAATTTAGTTAACATATTGATATTATAGACAGTACAGGGAACAGTTTTTTTGTGCCCATCAGCTGACTGAATCACCCAACAACACTTCTCAGTTTAACTTCGTTTACAGTGGAATGAACATCGAGTTTGTTGGTCTCGTGAATATTTTTACACTTTTACATTAAAATTATTGGTCATTCTGAAATTTAGTTAACTACTGATATAATATAAAGTTCTGAAATTATGATGAAGCACGAAGAAGGCATTAGAACCAATACATTCTGTAAAGAATATGGCATGTCATCATCGACTGCCTCTTCAATCAACTGTTTGATATGTAAACAAAGCTGCTGGGAATCTGACATACACATATCAAAGTAAGTTAGAATATAGTATTCTATTGTTTTTTATTTATTATTATACAGTATACTGTACAGTACAGTACATTACTGCATTTAGTTTATATTTAATGTTTTGTTAATTCTAGTACCGGTATACAGTACTTTGTATGTATACTTTTTCTGTGAGTTGGAACCAATTACCCAATATCCCATTGAAATAATAGATTCAGTTAACGAAATTTTCGGTTAACAACAGACTCTGTGGAACCAGTTGTGTTCGTTAACCGAGGGACCATTGTACCGTCAATTTAGTGACATTTTATAAGGGAAAAACTAAAACTCCTTCTGTTTGATAACTATGCACTTTGTTATCTCCCTTCCCTGACAGCCAAGGTAAAGGCAGTTAGACTTAAAGTTTTTATCTTATAAAATGTAGCAGAATATAAATTGCATTGCTGGAATCCTTGTAAGATAGTGATTAATTTGAGTATAAACATCACATAGTTTGCACAAGAGATAAAATTTTAATCTAGTGTAGTACATTTGAGTACAAAGTTTGTACAGTAATGTTGCTCAAAATTATGTGTTTTTTTCAAATTTAATTTACACTTAATATTTGTTTAATTTAAGTTTCTAGCAGTCCATGGTGCTTTAGAGACACAGGAGGTGTATCATTAGTGGGTCAGAGGTGTATTGTTCAATTATTATTACCTGACCTCGGTTGGTCCGGCAAAACGGATAATCCGGCAAGGCTTTGAAACCAAGGGTGGAGAAAATCGGTGGTGGACCTGTATTAAATACTGTACAGTATATAAGTCTACTTAAATATTTTAAATGATACATCTATTAAACTAAAAATGCTTGTTTCATATACATTACATTTAGTAAGAAATTCTTTCAAATTCGTCTACCTTAATTATTATAATTATGATTGTTTTATAGTGTATTGTATACATAGTTGAAAGTGTATAATAATTAGTAAAGAATAATAGACATGTGGATATATTAAAATTATCTGTTGAGTTTCATCTATCATATGTACTGTATGTTCAACCATGAGTGTGATTTTATATTTTTGGAACGCCCCTATCTCATGAAATAACCCGAGACTATTGTATTTCTTTACATTTGCTACTAAAATTCGATATTTTGCTCCTGTATACAGTACTATGTGCTTTAGTTTTAATTATTAACAGTATAGTATAGTTTTATCATGTCTTGATAAATTTTATCCTATAGGAACTTCTTTCATGTTACAGTAGTACAGTACTTAATTTTAGTCTCTGGTTAAATAAGGTTTTCTGTGATTGAAAGATACAACTTCTTAAGAATGCTTGTTTTTTAAATGAAATCTATTTCTGTTATCTGAAATATTTAATTCAATCATTGCTTGGTCCCTAGAAATTTGGACAAGAGATCGCTTACTGTGTAAGAATCCTCTTCTGACAGCAACATGTTTACATTTCTTATTGATAAAAATGAATCATTGATAATTCTACTGTATTCTGCATTTGCACTTCATGTGCTCACCTAAATCTTATTTCAATAACTTGTGGAATTAATTTTTTCTTATATGTTTGGGCAATGTCTTAGGCACTCTTTGAGCTAGGGACCAGATTTTTTTTTTTTTTTTTAAGCACTGTATTCCCCTCCCCATTTAATCTCCAGATGTTGCAAGAATTGTAAGTCAGTATACATTGATGTTACCACTACAGTCCAGTACTTGTTTTTAATTGCCTTTTTATCTTTTAGTAACCCAATACAGGGCAAGATCAGGTTACCAGTCCCACACACCACATAAAGAAATCATATGTTTTCTTTTGTAAATTTTTGCAAATTTTTTTCATGCTCAATAAATTTAACAAAAGTTTCATAAACAGTATTCACAATAAGCTGAAAATAATTCAATCCAAATCTGCTTTTATTTAAAATAATAATAGAGTATAAAAAAAGGGGGTTGAAAAGGAAGGTATTACTGTACCTATTTACCAAAGGGGCCACCACAAAATGTGTTAGCCTAGTTAGAGGTAGGAGACTGATGGCCTGTGTACGGTTGCCCCTTTGTTGTTGGTAATCTCGTCCAGAGCTTACGAAAGGTAACTGATGAAATAACTAAATTCTTCTTTGAGAAAAATATGCTGTCACACAATGATGATCACTTGACTGACCATCTACATTCATATAGTGTTCAATACCTTGTGCCTACAGATGGCTTTTGTAATGTAAACTCAAGGTAGATTGAAACTTGTATTGGCAGGTCACAAAATTAGGGAAAATTTTCACTGGACATTTTTGTATAGTTTTTCAGTACAGGTATTTTGCATTTTGGTCCACAACTGTGTATGAATTGTGTGGTCATGCCACAAGTAGTATACAAGATTCCAATTGCTAATAATGTAGACAAAATGCCAGTATTTAGAACCTGTAACAATGAGACACTTGTTGACCAATTATATTATTATGAACTCCTTTTACTGCTTACCAGCTTCCACTGCTGGTTATCAGCAGGCAGGTTGTATATACAGAAGCAGTAGATATATTACAAGTGTCGTCGAATTACTTCTATATGTCCCGTTAGGCTCCAGTAATTACTTTACGATCGGTATCAGTGTACAGACAAAACAGCAGACAGGTAGATTTCCACCAGGTCACAGTTACACACTTATGAACTGCAATCTTCTTTAATAATCACTAAATCTTCACAAAAACTGCTCACAGGGTAGTGCTCACAACTGGACTTCTCACTTCGAATATATACAGTCAGCACACTACCAATGTTGCAACAATTCCACAATACTTCAACAACAATTATCTTTAGGCTGTTACTAGGCTTGTACAGGTTGGACCTGGCTAGTTTGGGGGCTTGGGACCAGATCATTGAAGCCATATTAAAAAGGCAAAATAATGCATAAAATGTACTATTACTGGTACCAATACAACGTACATCAGCATAAATTTAGCCTAGGCTTACTGGACCTCTTTATGCCATTCACTATATGGGAATTTGCATACTTTATATGTACAGAAATAAACAAAGAATTTATTTGAAATACTCAGTAACTTTCAGTGCTATAATATCCTGACCACTTGGGTTAGTTATACAGACTCTTCCCTGTTAAAAAGCCATAATTTTGAGCAATATATTACTGTACTCACTTTGTACTCAAATGTACTAAGTGTAACAATAATTAAAAAAAAATTATTCTTCCTTTTCTATTCTTTATTTCTCTTTATTTCTTTACTTCCTTTTTACTATATTTCTTTTACTCTTTTTCTTCTGTTCGTTATATTTGTAAGACTAGTGAGATGGGGAAGGTTGGGGGGAGAGTTGTTTATGCTTTGGGGAAGGGTGTGACTGGGGAAGGAGGTTGTGGCCTTCTGTTAACCCTCACACCAACCAGGGGAGACTGGATAACTGGGGACTAAGACTAAGATACAACACTTAACAGAGGGGAAATATGAAATAGTTATTACGTAGGACTCACTGTATTACTGTATACTACTAAAGGCACTTAGAAAGGACAATACTCTACTCCATACACAAGGGAATTGAGAACTAATCATAACGGTTCTTCGTTTATTAATGACGTTCCTCAGAATGAACAGTTACACTTCAAAACAATAACCTTTTCTTCCTAGCTAGCTAACCAAGGGTCACATGAATCACAATACATTTTGTGAAATGGATAAAACCTAAAAGGTGCTCATATTATATCCTGCTATGTGAGGAGGGTTAGGGACTCAGGATTATACAATAGAGGGAGTTTAGGTTTTTTCCTTATAAAATGGACTTAAGAGAATATAACTTGCAATGCTGGAATTCTTGCAAGATATTGATTAATTGAGTATAAACATCTCATAGTTTGCATTGGAGTTAAAAATTTTAGTCCTCTAGTTTAGTACACTTGAGTACAAAGTGAGTACAGCACAGTGAATTATGTTGCTCAAAATTATGGCTTTTTAGTAATTAACTTAGTACGTTTGAGTACAGGTTATGATAATTTGCAATGATTTTTCCATAAGATTAAGTATTCACTATATGCATCCCGAACCATTGAAGCTGCTGGACTCTCAGGTCCCAGACTAGCGGGGTCCAACCTGTATCACACTAAACAGAAACGGGTGACTACTTCCTTGGCTTCTCGCTGCAGCTTATCTACCTTTCATCAAGCGCCTAGAGCATTCTAGCGCCATCTTGGTATTGCAGGTCTGAACGAGATATGCCTTGAAGGTTCTAGAATGATCTGGGCCACAATACGTAAATAAATCATAAAAATAATGCAATTCATTCTAAAAATTTATATAGGTAATATATACAAGAAAATCTCCCCAAACTTGCCAAAATAACTGCTGCCTGGAATGGAAAGTAATCAGAACACCTAGTTCACAAAAAATATAATACTAAATTATGCCTCGGCATAAAAATGTTTATACTCTTATGCCTTCCAGCTTACAAAGGAGTGAGTGCGAGTTTAATTTTAAATATTTAGACAAAATTGTAAATAACATGTTTTTCATGTTTGTTTTGAATATAA